CTAATATAGGCCGAACTATATATCTAATATAGGCCGATGCCTAGTTATAGAGCTATAAGTATTAATTAAGTTAACGACAGATATACTCGGACTCACAGTCACAGTCACAGGCGCAACACCGATGTACGATCGACACCAAAATCTCGGAAAAGATGAGAATTAAAGAGAGGCCTATATTTTCATACCAAATGCATTTTGTGCTCGGCAATGTACAATCGACTGAGGTTTTACATATATATATATATATATATATATATATATATATATATACATATATATCCCTGACATGAAGCACAATAACATTATCAAAAACTAATAAATTATCAACAGCCCAAATACAAAATTCGACTCCCGATGCCCCCGCCGGGCCTCCCCTCACCGCGACGAGCGCGCCACGTTAGCGTTCACGTCGTTCCCGCGCTTCCTCGTCCCGCGCTCCGCGTCCGACGCGCGCGACGCCGGCGCCCCCTGGCGGTACCTTCCGTACACGTAGAGGGCGCCGCCGGCGGTGTTGGCGGCGATGCCGGCGACGACGGGCGCGTTGAGCGCGACGCCGCCGAACGCGAACGCTCCGACGCACGTCTGCGCGACGCCCTTCGCCGCGGCGACGAGACTCGTCGTCAGCGCCGAGTTGAGCGTCGTGCAGCGAAACAGCGCGTAGTTTAGCAGCGCCCCCGCGCACACGGTCGCCGCGAGCGCCGCCGCAAACTCCGCCGACCGCCAGGGGGCGCTGCCGTCGCCGCCGCGCATCATGGCGGCGGGTTCGCCGCGGAGGAGCGTCGCCGCGGCGACCATCGGGAGGCAGTTGAAGCTGTTGAGTTGGAGGATGTCGTGCGCGGAGAGCGCCGCCTCGCCGCAGCGCTGCACGAGGGTCAGGTAGAACGCCTGCGCAAACACGCTGGCCGCGCACGCGGCGTACGCGCCCGGGTCAAAGGTCAGGTCACCGAGTCCTGCAGAGGGCAGGCAGAGACGCACGGTTAGTGTGGCCGCGTGTGGCCGCGGCGGTGGTGGTGGTGGTGATGCACAGACACGCACGCACGCGCACGTAACATCGATTCACAATAAAATAAGAATCAGACGACAGGTTTTTAAATGGTGCCAAAACGTTTTTTAAATACAGAAAATTGCCAAAACTTTTTTTAAATACAGAAAATTGTGAGATCTACATGTATCTATCAATTCGTGATCAGTCTACTTTTTGGCCTCTTTGACTTCGAATGTAGGTTTTTGTTAAATGAGGGGAAAGGGGTAATAAAAGGGATATTGCAGGACCAAAAAGCAGATGCAGCAGCGCATGAGAAACGAACAATTTACTTTTTTGTCCTTAAACTCTCTTACATGCCAGCAGCAAGCACTACACCCGGATTCACTCACCCGCTACGACGCAGCCTCCCGTTATCAGCATCACGGCGACGACGACCGTGGCTGGTGGCGCCCCCTTCTTGAGCATGAAGACGGAGAGAGCGAGGTTGACGAGGGGCGTGCATCGCTTCAGCAAGCCGTACATGGGAATGTTCATGCCGCTCAGGGCGACCAACGACAGCGTCGCGTGAAACGCGTAGCAGATCGACGGAAGCAGGAAGTAGCGCCCCCTGGCGAGGCTGTACGCCGGAATGTTGACCTGCAGGTGGCGACACCGTGTCATTACCGCTGCGTTTTTACAGTCGCGCAAAACCGAGGGAGATGTAATTGTAGATGTTACCACTGCCCCCTCACCCACTGCCGCCCCCCTCACACAGTAACATCTCACACGCACCACCGCCACCCCTCGAGCGTGATCGTGACAATGACATCGTGCTCACGCGCGTACGTACGTACCTTGTTGGTTAGTCGCAGCGCTTCTAACACGACAACCGAGAACAGCATCTGCAGGGTCATGATGAAGAACGGATAGTTGAATCCGTACGTGTTCAGAACGGCTTTGTTCAGGAAGGCCATCGAACTCGAACATACTCCATAGAACACCGCCGCACCGATGCCCTGCGTAGTCGATCGAAATTCAGATTCAAATTAGAATTCGCGATATTCACTCTCCATCACGACTTCAAGAACAAAACACGGTGATGCGCTGCGTTGCTGTACACCTCTGGAGAAACAAATTCCGATGAATAACGGATGCTTATTTACTTGAGTAGCAGTTATACAGCGAAACCACTTCTATAAAACTGACACTGGTCTACAAAAGAGATCTGAAAGTTTCCCTCGATTAACCGTTAAATACTGGGTTCACTGCATACAGATATTAAACATGAATAGGAACGTTAGGGTATCCAGCGAAGGACCGCGGCGGCTGGCCATCCAGTTACAGAGACTGCTATACATACCTCAGCTGTCATCGCCGTGACGACGACTGTGTGGGTGCAGACGATGCCAACACTTTGCGTCGGTGCGTATGTTGCTGTAGCGTTGCTGCAGACTAGCAAGGCACGGTGCCACCACGATCGTCAAATCCTGAAATGCGTGATCGATGTAAAACTTGTACACGTCACAAGGACTTGTATACCACACTAAAACTTTCTAGGGCACAATTTATTGGCCCTATATATTTAGTGGTAAAAGTCGAATTGCATATTATAACAAAAAACATATTGCGATTCTAGTCTATAATACACTATAGTTTATACAGTGAAATAAACAACACCGACATCACTTACAAGTAACACTAAAAGCCGCTGCACACTAGAGCAATATGTTCAGCAATCGTCTCACGAGCAAGATGGCTTGCGAGTCGTGTTCACCGCACACTAGAGCAATCAGACTCGCTACTCTGCACTAGTGACCTAGCTATAGCTCTCGATTCCAATATAGTAATCACGTCCCATGAACCACTGCGACCCGACTGATCAACTAATGGCAAGCACAATGGTAAGAACAATGGTACGTGTTACTAGAGCAATAGTGCTAATCAAAGGCCCTTGTTCACTAGAGCAATTTTGCTCAAGTGTGCGGGTGTAGCGAGGCGGATTGCTCACGTCACGACACATTCGCAGCCATATAACAATCAACATCATAATTGTTCTTACCATTGTGCATGCCATAAGTTGATCAGTCGGGCCCCAGTGGTTCATGGGACGAGATTATTATATTGGAGTCGAGAGAGTCAGGTCACTCTAGTGTAGCTAGTGTAACAGTCGCGCAAAACCGAGGGAGATGTAATTGTAGATGTTACCACCGCACCCTCACCCACCACCGTCCCCTCACACAGTCACATCTCACATGCACCGCCGCCCCCCTCACACAGT